CCTGCCCAGCATCACGGTCTTTTCCAACGAGTCAGCTCTTCACATCAGGTGACCAAAGTTTTGGAGTTTCAGTTTCAGCATCAGTCCGTCCAATGAATATTCAGGACTGATTTCCTTTAGGATGGACTGGTTGGATCTCCTTGCAGTCCGAGGGGCTCTCAAGAGTCTCCTCCAACACCACAGTTCAAAAGCATCGATTCTTCTGCACTCAGCTTTTAATATTGTTTATCCTCATTGTTATTCATAAGTTACTACACTTATTAGGCCCACTGCTCAATCATGATATTTATTGCATTTGTTTAGAAGCATATGTATTACTTTATCATGACTCTATTTATTAATATTTTGATGACTGTAACTATAATTTCTTTGTCATCTTATATAATTCTATTAAATTGTCAAATATTATGCGGAGAGGGATGCATAAACTTCACAGGATTGCCAGTGGCGTCTGTGATAAAGAGAGGGGCAAAGAATCCCGCTGAGAAAGCCTAAAACCTCAGTGAAACCGCTCACAGACTTGGTGTGTCTAGACCCCTGATGTGAAGAGAGCCCTACACTTTACAGCTGTCACCTCCCCAGGCATCTAAGAACACTGCTACCATTTTCATATGTGTAAGTGTAACACGTCGTTCTAAAAATCCAGTGTTTCCATGTTTAATTGTTGGTTTCACACAAGGAGACCCCCTCCAATACCAAGAGACATAGGTCTAATCATCTGTAAAAATGCCTGCTTACAAAAAAATGGAACAGGGAAAAAAATAAGACCCAATTAAAAAAAGAAGAGAGCTTGAAAGAACAAAACCCAGGAACTAATTCTCACTGACAGTCTCGTCTTTCATCTTAAGCCGCGCCTTGAACTCTACCTTGTTTAATTATTAAGTCAGGAGCGGCTCAGCAAGATCTGTCTAGTTCTGATGATTCTTAAATTCAACCCCGCTGACAGACCCTGTCCATTCTTCTCTATATTTTACTGTTGCCTAATGACAAGGTCTGAATGCTAATTTTTAAATTCAACTTTCATTAAAAATAGAAAGCAGTTTCTCTAACAGTAACCTCTTGGCCCCAAAGTATGACTTTAGTTTACACTACAAATTTATAAAAATTAAAAATTCCAATGTGAAAGCTATTACTCTCTAGTGTTATCTAACTAATAAAAAATAACAGTGCAGTAAACACTGTAGGCAATTAATATGTTTCATAAACTTCAACCCTACCATTACTTAATATATTCATGTTTATGAAAATTTAGGAGGCTGAGATGACAAAAATGTATTTCAGATATAAATTTGGCTTTTGCTCACAGCCTTGAATATCATCCTTGTGCTGATTCCCCAGAAAACAGACCCCTGATCTTGCCGAGGAGAGCTGGTCCATGTCGGGCGTCCCCGCCCCACCAGGGAGCAGCCCGGCAGCGGCAGTGCTCGCCCTCCACAGACCCCAGGCCCAGCCGCCTGTCCTCCGAGCCGCGCCCAAGGCCCTGGGTCCCCAGCGCCCCTGAGTCCGTTCTCAGAGCCCACAGTTTGTTCTCTGCACAGAGCAAGACAGACACATTAAGAGTAACATTCACATGGAACCACTCTGATGTGCTCAATCCACTACAAATGCAATGCAAGATGCCAAAAAGTCACGGAATTGTACGCTTTAAAACAGATGAATCTTACAATATACTAATTATAATCATATACCAATAAAGCTGTTTGGTTTTTTTAAAGGATCAATCACGAGGTTTTCCCTGATCTGTGCCCTGACAAATTCTACTTCCACCTTGCTCTCTGCTCACAGGGCCCCGTCCCTGCTGCTGTTGGCTGGGGTGTCCCAGCTTTGGGATTTCTGCACTGGCTGTTTCTTCTGCCTGAACTTCTGGAAGATGGTGGAGCAACACGAGGAGGTGAATGTGTGGGAAAGCGTGGCCCTAAGACGGTGCCCAAGTGAAGACACAGGCAGTTTCAAAAATCAGCAAATATCTTCAATTTTTATGCGTTAAGTGTCACTCCAGTGTTGCCAAATGTGAGTATTTGGGTTATTATTTGATCCCTTTGTGTTTTTCATTTTTCTTTAATTCCGAGAAATCAATTTACATTATTTCTTCAAAAAGATCTATCCTTCTTACTCCGTGGTTTCATTCCATGTTTCTGTCTCCTTGCACTTTCTTCCGAGCCTCTGCTCCTAGGATAGTTTTCCATTCTGATCTTGGTGGTGGTGGCTGTGTTTTAGTTGCTAAGTTGTGTCCGATTCCTGCGACCATATAGACTAGGAAACTACCAGGCTCCTCTGTCCATGGAACTCTCCAGGCAAGAATACTGGAGTGGGTTGCCATTTCCTTCTCTAGGGGATCTTCCCGACCCAGGAACTGAATCCAGGTCTCCTGCATTACAGGCAGATTCTTCACCGACTGAGCTACAGGGAAGCCCATTCTGATCTTGCTGCTGTTGCTGCTAAGTCGCTTCAGTCGTGTCCGACTGTGTGACCCCATAGACGGCAGCCAACCAGGCTCCCCTGTCCCTGGGATTCTCCAGGCAAGAACACTGGAGTGGGTTGCCATTTCCTTCTCCAATGCATGAGAGTGAAAAGTAAAGTGAAGTCGTTCAGTTGTGTCCGACTCGTAGCGACCCGATGGACTGCAGCCTACCAGGCTCCTCCAACCATGGGATTTTCCAGGCAAGAGTACTGGAGTGGGGTGCCATTTCTTTCTCCAATTCTGATCTTACTCTTATTTAATTTTTTAGTAGACTTCCTTCTGCTGTATTTATTGTATTTTTTCTAACTGTATCTATTACACTTTTTATTTTAATTCTTATTTTTCATATCCAGTATTATCATTGGGAAATATTCTAAAATGGACAGACGTTACAACAAGGCTAGAGGGACTCCCTGGTGAACCAGCAGTTAGGACTCTGCCTCCCAGAGTGGGGGGCCCGAGTTTGACCCCTGGTCAGGGAAATAGACCCTAGATGCTGCAACTAAGGATTCTGCAATCTGAAGGTTTGGCACAGCCAAATCATATAAAATTTTTAGAAGTTTTGTTATGGGACATTTCAAACATACACCAAAGGAGGAGGAATCGTATAATAAACCCACTATATTCTTCACCCCAATTCCACATCTAGCTGATTCTTAAGCTGTCTAGCACTCTACCTGCTGAAGTCCCAAATGCACCCCCTCCTCCAGAGGTGACAGTAGGACAGGCCCTGGGCCCTGGAAGATCTACATGGAACTGTTTGCTGCTTAGGTTCCTTCCAGGCCGACTCAGGGTTCTGCTTTCTTGACCTGGCTGGCTCGGTGTCAGCCCACCCCTCGCCTGGCCCAACCCCAGACCGTCACCGCTCTCCCCTCCATCCCACTGGTCAACGGCTGCGTCTCTGTGGGAGGGAACAGAGGCACACATTGCGCTCAGCCTGCTGTCTTCAAGCAAATGCCCACTAACTTCCTGAACTGAGTACCTCCTTGTGTATACAGGTCTCCTGATTATTGTTCCTGAATCCTACAACTATCTATTGAGCACTTACTACATCACGTAACTCAGGGATCCTGACATATCTAACATTCCCAGCAACACACATTACACTGTGCTGCTGCTGCGACCCCGCCTGACGGATGAGGACACTGAACGCCGCAAGGGCTGGCCGCTAAGGACCTGGGACTGGAGCCTGAGACCTGCAGCCCCGCTCCGCATCACTGTGGGTGCTGCGTCCCCCTCCTTCCGCCCTCTGAAGCGGGCCCTGCAGCTAGTCTGGGGTCTCCAAGACACGCCTAGGTAACAGACTGTGGCTCAGACTCCACAGCTTTAAATCCAAGGAGGCACTCTGGAAAAGCCAGAAGACTGAGGGGGCTCAGTGGCCAGGGGACCGTGCTCATGCTGAGGATTCAGGGTCTACACGCCACGAGGTCAGCTCAAGTGTCAGGAACAAGGAGGACGAGGCGCAGTGCCTCAGACGTGAGGCCCCGGGTCCAGGCACCCTCAGCCCACCTTCTCCAGGCTTCCGTAATTCAGGAAGGCAGCTGAGCCTCTCAAGGCTGAAGACCCACCTCTGCAAGCAGAGACTCAGCAAAGGGCTCTGGGGGCCCTCCATCCTTGCTAGGAGGACGCACCTGGTCTCCTGCTGTGTACGCTGGTGGCCCACCCGCCCCCCCTCCCCCGAATCCTCAGGAAGGGACTCTGGGCTTACCCACAGGGCATCTGTGTCTGCTCCCTCAGTCAAGACAGAGCGACTAAGAAAAACCACCTTCCACCAGCCACACGACCCTACCTCCTGATCTGACTGTCTTCCCACAGCATTACAGCCACACTACTCCACCTCCCAATCTGACCATCTTCCCATGGGATTACAGCCACACTGCTTCACCTGCTGATCTGACTGTCTTCCCATGGGCATTACAGCCACAGTTCTCCACCTCCTGATCCAACTGTCTTCACATAGGCATTACAGCCACACTGCTCCACCTCCCGATCTGACTGTCTTCACACAGGCATTACAGCCACACTGCTCCACCTGCTGATCTGACTGTCTTCCCGTGGGCATTTCAGCCACACTGCTCCACCTCCTGATCTGACTGTCTTCACATGGGCATTTCAGCCACACTGCTCCACCTCCTGATCTCACTGTCTTCACACAGGCATTACACATTCCCAGAAAAACAATCACGTCTTCAGTCAAGAAGACTGAAACAAATAAATAAAACAGAAAGGAAAAAAGTAAAGAAGTTATCTCTAGGCTGAAAGTCAGTGGAAAAAAAAAAGGAGAAAGGTTTATAAAGCTTTGGTGGGGTAGAAAAAAAATAAAAAAGAAGTGACAACAAACGACCCCCAGGGAAATCCCATGGCCACTGGAAGAGGCTGCACACTGCCACGTGTAAGCCTGTGCTGGGAAGGAAGGCAAGTGGTTTTAACTCCACAACACACTTGCCTTGCACTGCATGCTCTGGAAGCAGGGAGGCATGAGGACAGGGAGGTGAAGAGGACAGCTCATAAAGCGATAAGACAAGGAAAGAAGACGTACTGTGGACTGCATCTGCGCCACGTATTCACCCTCCATTTTGTTCAGCCGCACGTTTGTGTCCTCGAGCAATTCTTGAATATTTTCCGTGTGTTGCTTCTGAAGTTCAAACTTTTCCTTTTCCATTTCTGCTACAGCGTTGTGGAGCTACAGAGGAGAAGAACTGACTCTTTCAATACTGTTACAGAATGGACTATTTTGTAATTCAGAAAAAAATCTTCCCTATATCTCTCTATTTATTTATATGGTGACCTGAACAACAAAAGATATAAAATATTCCTGTAAAGAGCATGATTAAGAAATAAATGTTTTGTTTATTTTCCTGAATTGAAAGTTTTATTGGATAAACAAATATTAAAGGGGATGATCCACCTCAGGAAGAAATAGTAAATAAATCAGATAACACAATGCATCAGGTAAACAGCACCAGAATCAGCCTCATATCAGGAAACAAAGGTATTCATAATACTGCTATCAATTAAGATTGCTATCTCACAGAATTTTCATCTTATTTGCATGAAACCTTGCACAAGAGTAATGTTCAAAATGCTTTATCCTTCAACCTGACTCCCAACAAGAAACTATTTTTATCCACTCCATAAACTACACTAAATGGACACAAAGGTGGCATGTGTCAACCAAAGCCAGCTCTCGGGAGAGCTGCACGCTCCATGTCTTTGTGCACACTGGCCGTCTGAACGAGGACTGTGCACATATGCTGAAGTCGGTGAGATGCTGAAATAGAGATGCAACTAAGGTAAGGAAACCAATTTTCAATGGGCAGCCTCTAAGGAAGTGTAAAACCCAGGCGACAAGCCTCGTGGGCATTTGTCCACCTGTCTTCACGGGTGGGGAATTTGGAATCTAGTTCCTATTGGTCACCTGTCTTCACAGGCGGGGAATTTGGAATCTAGTTCCTGCTGTCCACCTGTCTTCACAGACTGGGAATTCGGAATCTAGTTCCTGCTGTCCACCCGTCTTCATGGGCGGGGAATTTGGAATCTAGTTCCTGTTGGTCACCGGTCCTCACTGGCGGGGAATTTGGAATCTAGTTCCTGCTGTCCACCTGTCTTCACGGGCGGGGAATTCGGAATCTAGTTCCTGCTGTCCACCTGTCTTCACGGGCGGGGAATTCAGAGTCTAGTTCCTGCTGTCCACCCGTCTTCATGGGTGGGGAATTTGGAATCTAGTTCCTATTGGTCACCTATCTTCACAGGCGGGGAATTCGGAATCTAGTTCCTGCTGTCCACCTGTCTTCATGGGCAGGGAATTCGGAATCGAGTTCCTGTTGGTTACCCGTCTTCACTGGCGGGGAATTTGGAATCTAGTTCCTGTTGTCCACCTGTCTTCATGGGCAGGGAATTCGAAATCTAGTTCCTATCCTCTGCACCCAGCCCAGGCTCACAGATCTGCAGCCTGATGGAGCTCAGAATAGTTATTCCAGTGTCTGGCATTTATATACACATTTAATCAAGCCAAAGGAAGTTATAATTTATATAGTACAGATACTGTAGAGTGTTTTCCAATTACTGCTGGCCTAGTTTTAAGAAGACGGGCGTCCTGAGTGAAGCGTTAAATAATGGAATGTGTACTTGCGGCAGCCAGAAAAAAGCCATGCCAACTTTACAGAAAAGGTCAAAGCTCACAGAGGAACATGGACCTAGAAGAGCGCTCCGTCCGCCCTCTGGACAGGGGCCCTCCTCACACAGCCCTGGAGTCGTGGCCCCAGGACACAGCCACCCCGCGTTGGCTCCAAACACCCGCAGGGCCCAGGAAAATACCCAAACTCAACCCACTGGGAGATGGTCAGCTGGAGGAGTTCACCGCAGACCTTCACAGCTGACTTACTCAAAAGAAGTAACGTGCTTCATTTCTTGTGAGTACATATTGTAATTTCAACCAATGGCGAAGAGCTCCTAAATGAAAGTACTATGTGCCTGCATGCGTGCTCAGTCCTGTCTGACTCTTTGTGACCCCATGGACTGTAGCCTGCCAGGCTCCTCTGTCCATGGGATTCTCCAGGCAAGAACACTGGAGTGGGGTGCCATTCCCTCCTCCAGGGGATCTTCCCAACCCAGGGACTGAACCCACATCTCCTGCATTGCAGGCAGATTCTTCATCGCTGAGCCACAGGGAAGCCTGAAAGTAGTTACAATGTGTGACTAGGTAAGACTTTTATGACACATTATAAGTATTTTTTACATTACTCTTGGCTCTGCTAAATTTAATGAAAATGTTTTTCTTAATTAAATGTTCCTCTAAGAATAATCCATCTACAACTGATTTTGCTTACACCAAAAACAAGTTTTTACTACAACTATTGTGTCATCTGAGATTTCAGAAAAGAAATGATCCAAGGGCCTACATCCAAAATTTGAACAATTTAACTCCCCAAAATTACCCTGCTATTATATCCCTATGAATTCTGCTTAAAGTCTATTAGCTCTGACAAAAATTCAAAGCCTTAATTAAATCCAAGAATTGTTAAAAGTAACTTTTCTAAATGAAAACTAGTTTATAAACCATTAAACTTCCAGAAAAAAGTATACCAAACACAACAGCTATTTCTAGATAGTCTAGAACACTATTACTTTTATTTTTTCAAGCTCTTCTTTATATTTTGTGAATACCCATTATTTTATAATTAAGTAGGCTACGTTAAAGTATAACCCTTTATATTTTTCCATCACTATTTTATTTTCTGTAGCTTACCTTTTTTTCCCAATCATTATTCAGAGATTCTGTGCTCTGCTCACATATCTTTTTTAACTCTGCGATCTGGTTGTCTTTGGTCTCTCTGATAACCTGGCATTCTCGGACAAGGGTCTGAACTGTCAAAAATGACGAAAACATAATTAAACCAATTTTAGCTGCCACATAAGAGTCCGGTGATAAAAAGCAAAGTGCACCAGTTAACAGATCATCCCATCTTCCTCCCAGTCTTCTCTGCTCTCCCCTAAAATATCTCTTTCTCCCTCCTCTTTTCCATGTCCACCTCCGCAGCCCAGTGAAGCCCTCGCGGCTCACCCCCAGACCACAGCACGGTGTGCTGGCCTCCCTAACTCTCCTGCAGGGTGTCCGCCACCGCTCTACAGAGGCCCTTTCCCCGTGCCGACGCGGCACCGCTACCCTCAGACCTTAACTCCCAGTTCCCCTCCCACAAGATAGAGACCCAAAGCCTCTGACACAGAAAATGGCTCCTCAGGTCTGACTACTTTCTGGCCGTATCTTCAGCCACATCTGTGTGTTTAACCTCGTAAACACACCAACCTATCTGCAGATCCACCTCTTTTCATCCTCTTGCCCAGATGCGCCCACCTATCCACCTGGACTGCCCCGCTCCCCTGCTGAAATACCATGTGCTCAAATCAGTCTCAGTTCAAATCACGCCTCCTTCCGGAACCAACAAGTCTCCTCCTCTTGCAGGAGCAGAAAGATACTCCTCTCTATGCCCAGGGGACCTCCTAGATTTCTGCATTAAGTCCCTTATTACACTGCACGCTATAATAGTTTATTTCCTTCTTCACTGAGGAGAAAGATATTTCAACTTTTTAACTACAGAGCAAAAGACTGGCAGTCAGGCAAGTACCCCAAACGCTGTGTGCTAAGCCCACAGATAAAGAAACCCACCACTCCAGTCTGCCACTCCTCCTGGGTGCATTAAAGTTACTGGGACTGAAGCAAAACATGCTCTAAATTACATAAAACATTTCCCTTATAAAGCATTCAAATTTCTATCTTCTTTTTAAAACTGATTTAAACTGTCATTGATTCGAGTGAAAACTGTTCAATATATTCATGTCATCCGGATGCAAAATAAATTCAGTTGTGTATTTCTTTGAAAGTGGTATTTTATTAGCCTCCTTAATATGTTCTTATTCACTTACTGCAAGATACGAAAATTTTCATAAACATTTACGTAGAAATTTCTTTCACTTTTATATGTCAATGATGCAGCAAATAAGTGAGAAGGAGATGAGTCCAAGTTAACCTGATATTGCTGTTCAGTCAATAAGACGTGTCCGACTCTTTTCGACCCCATGGACTGCAGCAGACCAGGCTTCCCTGTCCTTCATTTTCTCCCGGAGTTTGCTCAGACTCATGTCCACTGAGTCAACGATGCATCCAACCATCTCATCCTCTGCTGCTTCTCCTTCTGCCCTCAGTCTTTTCCAGCCTCAGGGTCTTTCCCAGTGAGTCTGCTCTTCACATCAGGTGGCCAAATTATTGGAGCTTCAACATCAGTCCTTCCAATGAATTCCAATAAAAAAGATTTTTTTTTTAAGTGTAAGTCACCCAGTCATGTCCGACTCTTTGTGACCCCATGGAGTATCACCCTCCAGGCACCTCTCCAAGCAAGAATAGTGGAGTGGGTAGCCATTCCCTTCTCCAGGGGATCTTCCCAACCCAGGGATTGAACCCAGGTCTCCTGCATTGCAGGCAGATTGTTTACTGTCTAAGACACCAAGATTCAGGGTTGATTTCCTTTAGGACTGTTTCATCTCCTTACAGTCCAGAAGACTCTTCTCCAGCACTACAGTTCAAAAGCATCAATTCTTTGGCCTGCAGCCTTCTTTATGGTTCAACTCTCACATCTGTACATGACTACTGGAAAAACCATAGCCTTGACTATATGGACCTTTGTCGGCAAAATGATGTCTCTGCTTTTCAATACACTGTCTAGGTTTATCATAGCTTTCTTTCCAAGGAGCAAGTGTCTTAATTTTGTGGCTGCAGTTACCATCTGCAGTGATTTTGGAGAGCCCCCCTGCCAAAATAAAATCTGTCACTATTTCCACCTTTTCCCCTTCTATTTGCCATGGAGTGATGGGACCAGATCTTATAGTTTTTTGAATGTTAAGTTTTAAGCCAGCTTTCTCACTCTCCTCTTTCACCCTCATCAACAGACTCTTTAGTTCCTCCTTGCTTTCTGCCATCAGGGTGGTATCATCTGAATATCTGAGGTTGTTGACATTTCTCCCAGCAGTCTTGATTCCAGCTTGTGAGTCATCAAGCCCAGCATTTCGTATGATGTACTCTGCATACAAGTTAAATAAACAGGGTGACAATACATACCCTTGTCATACTCCTTTCCCAATTTTGAACCAATCTGCTGTTCCCTGTCTGGTTCTAAGTGTTGCTTCTTGACCACCATACAGGTTTCTCAGGAGACAGGAAAGGTGGTCTGGCACTCCCATCCCTTTAAGAATTTTCCACAATTTGTTGTGATCTGCACGAAGGCTTTAGCACAGTCAATGAATGAAGCAGAAGTAGATGTTCTTCTGGAATTTCCTTGCTTTCTCTATGACCCAATGGATGTTGGCAATTTGATCTCTGATTCCTCTGCCTTTTTTCAACCCAGCTTATACATCTGGAAGGTCTCGGTTTATGGACTACTGAAGCCTAGCTTGAAGGATTTTGAACACAGCCTTGCTAGCGCGTGAAATCAGTGCAATTGTATGGCAGTTTGAACATTCTTTGACTGTTTAAAGTGTCTGGTTTGAATCAGAATAAAAACAAAAGCCCAGAAACAGATTTTAAATGTGTGAAGCCACTGATGTTTGGAGTGGTTCCATGACAGACTCTCCACTTTCTTCTTAGTCTTCACTGACATTGGATCGTTCACAAATCCCGCAGAGTTTCTCTTTCAGGTTTGCTCTCGCCACTCCCACTGCTATTACTGAGATATTCTGGGTCCTCATCATCTTACACATGACATTATGGAGGCGTAGCGTCCCTGAGTTGAAAGGATTTTATATACATTACATCTCCAATTGCACTGCTTTATGAGTAAGAGGCTTGCCGATGGGCCACAGCAGATGCTGAAGAGCAGGCTTCCTAAGAAGGAAGATGCTCACTCCCTCTCTCCCCCTCGCCATCCCCCTCTCTCCTCCTCCCTCTCTCAGCAGCTACAGGATAAACTTGAAATTTCTAAATCTGAAATTCAAGGTCATGCTCACATGACGCCAAGTCACCTACCTTAGTCATTGTCAGTTCTCTCTTAACATGAGGCTCTCCACTCTAGATGGATGGTTTTGCATCATCCTTCCCATAGTTTATGAACATCAGCATTCCCACCCCAGTACCTGGAACTCTCCCCTGCAACTAACTAAATCTTACAAAACTTTTAAAGTTCCTTCCCCCTCCCCGAATATTTCCAACACTTCCCCTAAGACTGCCCACTACATGTCAATGTTTGGACCTACAGTCATAATCAATTTAACACTTGATTACCTGTTTTCTTTTCCTTTGTAATGAAAGTATAAATGAGGAATACTTTTAAATGTTCTGTCCATCACAACACAGAATATACTATAAAGCATAAAGTAGACATTTAATGGAATGAATTTTTATTAGACCAAGACGAATAATTTCTCTAGACTCTGTTGTGAAAGCCTGTATGTTCTATTCTAACACTGACCTATGGCCATTTCAGTCCAATGAAGAGGGAGAGGATTAAGAGAGTAACAGTTACACTCTCCTAAACCTTTAACCAAACCAACCACCACTGCTACCACACACACACACACAGGTTTCTCTTAAGAAATACAGAAGTTCACATCAGCGCACCAACAAAGGAAACCCATACCCATACAAACTTTCCTATCCCATACTACAGTCAGAAATAAAACTGTACTTTATAGAAGCACTAAAATAAAGTAGAAATGTTTTAATGGATTTATGTAACAATAGACAACATCACCTTTCTTCTCAAGTTTTCTAATAGTCTCCTCAGTTTCACTTTGTTTCTTTTTGTATAAAGTTTTCATTTCTTCTATTTCATTATTCTTTCTTTCTAAAATCTGCAAGCAAATTTAAAATATTTTGGTACATTATATTATTTTATGTATGGAACACATAATTTTTTTTAAAAGAGCACAATATTCTTTTAAGTCTATCTCAGCTAATCCTGTCAGTGGCTTCCCAAAAAAAGATGTAAAAATTATATTTTAGTGCATTGACAAAACATTGAATACACTATAACAATTGATTACCGAAAGAAATATGCTGTTTCACATTTTCACGTACCAATCCTTAAAGAGATAGTAACTACTAAATTAGCTGGTTCTCTAAAATGTAACAGATGACGCTGTCACCAAGTAGCAGAGAGAAGCATCAGAAAGCTGACATGCTGACACAGTGCCATCCCCTCCCAGCCCTGAGACCGGGGCCCTGCAGACACGCGCACCCCCGAGGCCCTTCTGGCACTTCCACACACAGTACCGAGCACGCCCAGACACACGGGAACGTGGGTGGAACAGACGTCTTTTATATTTAGTTCTGCTCTTGGGAATCAAATAACTCAGCTCAGAGTATGTCCAAAATTGTATGAATATTCTACATCACTAATTTACACTCTCAGAAGTTTTTAAATGGATCATTACTTTTAAATACATCTAATACTTTAAAAAAATTAGAGAAAAACAAAGTGTAGGAAAGTGAGGAAGCAGGGTAGAGATGTCTAACCAAGGGGAAAGGAAACCAAACTGAGGCAGAAGCATGACTGCCTACCCACCTTTCTTACGGCTGAGGCATATTCCTATACACGCAAATTCAATTTTTGAAAACAGGTTATCACCATGTCTAACCAAGTTTTTCTTGTATTACCAGCATCTTACTTTACCTTTTATTATTTTGGTCCCACCTCTAAGAACAACTGATAAATAAGTAAAGGAGCCAGTTTGATCTCCATGTCCATAAAGAAGCAGAACCGGAAAAGAATGTGTGCAAAGAGATAAACACTTTCAATTTTATTCCTTCCCAATTCCTAACATATAGAAAACACCATACATGCAACAAACTGATGAATGTACTTTCCAAATCTGGCATGAGGTCAAAGATTTTATTTATATTTTACCTGACATTTCAAACTAGTTGCACTGCTTTCTTTTTTCATGCAGAATTTATTTTAAAAGAGAAACTCCTGGAAAGGATTCTACTATTAAATGTTTTTCTTAGAATAGCGCTTTGCAACAGACATACCAAAAAGCCGATTTCAAACTCTATTACCATGATTTTTCCAAATATATTTCTATATTTATTTATATTGCACATCAATATTTTATACATCAATAGGTTCTATTTTCAATTTAGACATGTATTATGCTCTATTGAAATTATATTACTGAACCTCTTTTAACATATTTATGATAGAGAACTGCTTTTATCTAACCATTTATACTTAGGTAAAATTCCAGTAAGAACATGAAGTAATATTTGTCTTTAAAGTTTGAATGGAAAAGAGGAAAGTCAAGGAGAAGGATTCAATAGTTTTTCTCTAATTTTCAATCGGTGGTTTCCCTCCTGTTGCTTTGCAAGAAGGTGAGCCCAGTATATGCCTGACTAAACACTACTAGATTTTCAGCTTTAAGAAAGTGGGGCAGGGTGGTGGGGGAGACAAAAGCAGGTTACGTGATGCCCTGGCCTCCACTCCCTCCCTCCAGCTCTGTCACTTCACTCTGGGGAGCAGCATCACAGGCTTAATTTTGAAACGGACAATGCCAAGTTTCTATTTGGATCAACTGTCATGAGTTCAAAATTCATATATTAAAATTATACTTATATATCACTACATTTTAAAAATCAATACAAAAATATAGCTATACAATTATAATGTATAATAACTAAATATTGATGACTTTTGCTGTGCCCATTAAGAAGAAAAATTATACTTTAAAGTACAAATTGAAATACTGGAAGGCATAAATCCCAACGAGCTACTGAAAGAAAGCCAACAGTGGCCTCATAGTACACTCAGTCTACACCAAAGAGAACTAAGTTCAAAATTTCTTTTTAAATTAGAAAGGAAACTGCAATTGCCAGAAGACTGAAAGAATATTAGACCAAAACAAACTCTAGTATTTACAGCTGATATTTCATTTCAACTGTAATGAAAAGCAATGATAGAATGTAAAGGGCTGTAAGAAACAAAGGAGAGCTTGAAGATGATGTAAACTATGAGGACTCACATGAATACATTTGTTTAGCAAATGAGGTTTAAAGATCAGCTTTGCTAGGATATTAATTTAGCAAGTCCCATTTATATGTCAGACTCTCATAAGCACATAAATATAATAAGTGGATGGATGGTCATGAGACCTAGAATATTTCAAATACTCAATTCTAAAAAAATAATAAACAGTACACACCCTACCTTCTGAACATCAGCATCGTGTTTCTGCTGCAATTTAAGTTTCTCTTCATGATATTTAGCTTCCATCAGCTTTGTTTTCATGTCCAACTTCAAGGAAAACATTTTAAAGGTGTTATTAATTTACTTTTCCATTTTGCAAAAGTACACAATTAAATTAACATAAACTCCTGTATGAAAGAGAGCATCATTTTCCATGTTCACCTTATAGTCACTAGTCCAGCAGTCACACTACATACACTCATACCCTGGGTGTGCTCTGCGATCACCTCCAAGTTGATTAAAGGTCTTCTGAACAAACCTCATTCTACAGGCTAAAGAACACAGATTCATCAGTGATACGCAGCCCACGCCACTCCCCCGAAAGGGTCATTGTGAACTGGTATTTTGCTAAATCCACTTGGTATTGTGTGGCACAGGCCAGGAGGATCCCCGACATTTCTTCCTCTCTTCTTCCTTGGGGCCCCACTAATTCCACCACTTCTGGGCTGGCTGGGGGGCTAACGGGGCAGAGGTGATGCAGACAACTGCGACGGACATGTTTTCTCGAAGTGGCTTTCCCTCCACCCTCTCTTTCTGAAGGATGAGGAACCAAGACCTCAGGTGGAGACACTGCAGCTCTGAGCTGCGGGCGGAGAGGCTGCCCACCAGCCGGGTCCCCCGCGACATGGCAGAGCCGCGCACTGCCAATGCGCCCCGTGCTGCCGGAGGAGTGCTAAGCAGACCCTCTTCTCTAAACTGCTAACCCTCAGCAATACATAACTTTTTATTATGAATGTTTCACACACAAAAATATATATTTTCTACACCTTGCCTTTCTCTCTGAACAATATTTCATGGAAATCCCTCTAAAAACACTTGCTCTAGTTTTTATTCATTTTCTAAACAGTTACCAACTATTCTTTCATGAGGAGAAAATATCAATCTGTTCAACCACTCTTCTTAATGCATATTCACTTTCTTCTCAGTCTGTCTCCACTACAAACAACACTGCAAAACATTCTCATGTATGCATCCAGCACACCTGGATTTTGCTTTCTACAGGGTGGGTTCTCAAAAGACATGGCAATGATTCAAATCATCTAGATATATTTTGCCCTCTGTTAAAGGTAAATTCACATTTCTGCTGGAAGAACAGACATCTCACTACGATCCTAATGTGCATTTCCCTGAAAACTACTGTGTGTTGGCCCCTTGTCACGTTTCAGCCAGTTCAGTTCAGTCGCTCAGTCATGTCCGACTCTGTGCTACCCTATGGACTGCAACACGCCAGGCTTCCCCGTCCATCACCAACTCTTGGAGCTTGTTCAAACTCATGTTCATCGAGTCAGTGATGCCACCCAACCGTCTCATCCTCTGGTATCCCCTTCTCCTCCTGCCTTCAATCTTTCCCAGCATCAGGGTCTTTTCCAATGAGTCAGATCTTCACATTAGGTGGCCAAAGTACTAGAGTTTCAGCTTCACCATCAGTCCTTCCAATGAATATTCAGGATATAAATGTGTCACATGTTTGGGGCCTTCTGAATCTGGTCTTCTGTGAAGGCCCTTTCACAATTTTCGTCCACATTCCCGTCTGTCGATCAGTAAAATCTGGTATGCAGGTTTTATTATGTATTAATTTAATGTGTGTATATACATTCACAGTTTATCTCTAATATTTTCCCCAAATTGATTGTTTTTCAATTTATTTTATTTCTTTTTTTTTTTTACCTTACAAACCCTTTATGTCACTTGAGTCAAATATTTCTATCATTTCTTTTATTCATTCTGAGTTTGGAAACGTTTTTGGGTAAGAAAGACCTGATGCCAAGATTTTTGTTGTTTTGAAACTTTTTATCTGGGTGTTTACAGGTTAAGTTTTAGGTACATCCACAATTTTTGGTTATTTTTGTTTTTAAAGGAAAGGATCCAACTTTATTTTTTTCCATGTAACTGAAAGGTTGTACCAGCATCATTCATTAAAAAGTCTTTTCTCAATGTATTGACAATGAACTTTGAAACTGTGATTTTATTTTTAAGGGGATTTAATTTTTTTCTTGAAATGTTCTTGGTTCTAACCATGTTGTATCTGCCTCATAAAAGCAGCTGAAAAGAGTAGCCCCCTCTATTATCTCAGAGAATCTGTGTAATACATAATACTGGAACACAGTTCTTCCTTAAGTGTTTCCTTAAATAAATACGTAGTTGTAAAGTACAATGTGTTAATCCGCTTTTGGTAACTGCAGATATTCTTTTTAAGTAAACCAACACTCACAAGTGCTAGGTTTTCTAAGATACATGGACTTAGTAAGTGGACTCAAGCTTTTCACCGTCACAGTCGGTCTGCTGGTTTACCCTGAACTTGGAATGGCTCTTCTACCCATGTCTGATGCTATGACATCATGCATTACTCAGTTGGAAAACATCAGTTCAATGAGTTGCAGAGATTTCCAAATATTGAAAATTTCACTACATAATAACAAAACCTCACACTGGTTAATATTACCACCAATCTCATAGTAAAAGTCTTAGTATTGGAAAGTTCTCAAGCTCACAGTAACTGATACAGGGTTGCCAAAATTCTAATTTGTATTAAAAGGTCAAATTCTATCATTAGCAGCAAATATGGTCAGTTGTTTTGCTTAAAGTGACAGGTTCAATTTGTTCACTTTCCAGAAAATGTCTCCCAATAACCCAGTCTGAATAACCATATTTTGTCTGTCACGTAAAAATGACATCCCACAAGCAGGAGCTATTACAGTTCATAACAGAGGAAGCACATGGGGTTTTCCTTCTGGTACTCCGATACACGCCTGGATATGCACCCTAAGCCCTCTATACACAGTTCTACTTTATCATTCATCTAGCCAGAAGATGTGTATTTGAGTTACAAGATTTAGTAAAATTAATGATTTTCTACTTGCTTCACTGAGAACATTCTTACGTAAGTAAGACTGGTAATTTTTTCCCTGGGAGCATGTGGCAATGAAGAATACACCAACTGGTACAATCTGGTGCCATTGCCTTGATGTGGGTCAGGATACAGTTTTACCCAACACTCTGTGTGCAAGTCAATACAAATGTCAGTACAGTAAAAAAAATTTTTTTAATTATTGCAAAAATAATTTTGACCTCATAGACCTCATGGATCTTAGGGATCATAGGGTTCGTGGCCCACACTCTGAGAACCTCTGCCCTAAAGGAACTCTTGTACATATGTGTCAGGAGACACGCACCAGACTGTTCACAAGGTCACTGTTTGCAAAAGTCAAAAATTAGAATAGAGCCATCAACACAATGGCAAGCAAGTGTGGCAGATGCATTTAACAGAAAGTGCCGCAAATGAAGCCAACGACAGCTAAATGCCTAACAAATATGAGTGTTACCCACATGCTACTGAGCAGAAAAGTTGTTTTATTTAAAAGAAGTTCAAAATCCACTGAACGGAAGTATTTTCATTCTTAAGAAGGCAGGCTTGGTAGCAAAGTCAACTTAAAAAGCAGAGGAGGGAAATGATGAGAGCCGTCAGGATGGTGGTTATTGTTGGGGAGGTGGACGAGAGCAGGACTGAGGAGGTGGACGGCAGGCGGCCGGCGCCTTGGTCAGGATCTAACCCTTGCCTGCATGTGGTCCACGATGGTTTTCCTTTGAATAATTATTACATCTTGTAAGACTGCGAGTCTCTGAATGCTCTATTCATAAGAAATGCTTTAAAGTATAAATTCTCTCATTTATTACATCAGTGACTGTAGATTTTGTCATTTGGATTTATTTAAATTCTACATTTTACTAGGAGATTTGCAAAAGGAAAAAAATGCCTAATTGGCATTACGTGTAAGAAAGAAGCAAGGCAGCCTTTTAGGCAATGGGTGGAAACATTCACTGTGGGTGGAGGTAAAGTTCAAAGGAAATACTCTATTTTACTTCTCAAAAAGGGCAATTTCCACCATCTGTTCTCTGAAAACTGATGGTTGCTCTGAAAACTGATCTCCTCTCGTTGTGCTCTCTTCTTTCATTTTCAGTGACAACGGTTTTCCAAATGTCTTAATCTATATCAGAAATCTTTTTTAAGAATACTAAAGAATTAAAAAAAGAAGCACACTGCTTGACGGCGCCCAAGGTCACACAGCCCTGTGATGTGGATATCACGGGAAACGTGTTAACAATTACAAAGGCAGACAAGCCCAAGCATGTTTGTGAATGGCAGGCTAAGGTGAAAACAAAGGGTCGCAGTCTCCAAACATGTCTTCCCATAATGCCGAATAAGTTGAGCAAAATTTCTAATCTTAAAATAATGTCTACGTGTGTTTTTACCAATCAAAACAAAACTAGTACAGTTCTTCAACTCTAATAAAATAATATTGTGAATATTACTCATTTAACATCTAAGGTATCTTCTACAGAATTATAAACTAGAATGGAAGTTGTTTTATATTCCAAAGGCTAATTAAATATTTCAGAACTCACCAAAGCATCAACAGAATTAAATCATTTATTAAATGCAGACAAACTCTGTAATCTATAGAGAACTTCATGTCACTCAATTCTTTCCACACTTGCTGCATTCTTTAACTTAAGCACTCAACCTCCTAAGTCTTTATTTTATAACATTAAGAACCGATTAATCTAGATTATCATCACTACTCAGAGTAAAACCCTGTGAAATGGACCTGAGATTTAAATACAAAGATGAGATTTTAAAAGAGACAAAAATATGAATTAATTTTTTCATAATCTTGGAATAAGCAAATCTTTTCTACACAATACAAAAACCAAAAGCCAGAGAGAAAAGACTGATGGAGCCACCTACTGAAAAGAAAACTTCTATATATTTTTTAAAAAGACAGAAATAAATCAAAAGACATACACAGAAAAATACCTGTAAGATATATGACAGAGAACTGAATTCCTTAATATATAAACTGCTGAGGAATCACAATGAAGACAAACAATTTAACAAAAATATGGAAAGGTATAATAAGGGACAGTTCACAAAAGTGAAATTAAAAAGACAATAAACAGACAAAAATATGTTCATTCTCACATAATAAAAGCAATGCAAATATTAAAACAAGATACTATTTTTTTGTCTCACAGATAATCAAAAATGTTTATAATTCAGTGTTGCTGATTAAATGAGGAGACAGACACTCTCATACACTATTGGTGCAAGTATAAACAGACCTGGCCTACAACACTCACCCACTCAAAGTGTGCAACTGGATGTCTCTCACTACATCAGGGAATTGACAGCACCGCCCCAGTCTAATTCAGGGCTTTTCATCGCTCCAGAAAGGAGCGCTCACACTCACTGGCCATCACCCTCCAGTCTCTCCGATGTCTACAGCCCAAGGCAGGCAGAACATCATTTTAAGGGCAAGCTGTCAATTTCAATAAAAAATTAAAACCTGCAACCCTGAGAAGTTAGATTTCACAGAATTTATGGTCTAAGAATAAACATGCAATGCATACAGCTGTACACAGGGATATTCTTGAAACACGGCTTGTTGTAGCAAAATATTCTTCATAACCTACATCCCTCAGTAGGAATCTCCAGTAATAAAACATGAGCCATCAATAAAACAAAGTATAGTGCAACTACTTGAAAGAATTAAACCATGTTACTGATATAAAAATCATCAGAATTATGTTTGAATTTAAAAAGCAAAATGAAACAAATGTAGAGTATGACCTAGTATGTTATTTGTATTTTTAAACTTTTAAAGAGAATACATATTAAATTTTTATCAATGATTACCTTGAAGAGTCATCAGGTGTTGTGGAAATAAATATTACTATTTAATTTTAATATTTACTATTTAATTTTAAAATAAACATAACTCGAACAAGACTATTTCTTATTTTTACAACATGACCCAACAACAACGAAAGCATTTCTGGACGAGAACACACAGGACACCTCAGGGCTGTCCAACCCGGGTGTGCAAGAGTCTGCTGAACATCAAGACAGAAAAGCCGCCACCCCCAGGCCCGCAAGGGAGCCTCTAAGAAAAGTGACTTCAGCCAGTGGACCTAAGACCATCCTTCTACAGGATGACTAAACACATCACAGCGTAGCTATGCATTTAAGCGTAGGGAAAAGTCCATGTTAGAAAACTATCTCCGGAAAATCAGTAAAAATGGTAAAGCAGTAGGACTGATATTTTCTTGTTTTTAATTCTTTTATTTAAATGGACTTTTAAAATCTATCCATCTATTCATGCACCATTCTAGAAAGAGTGTCAGGTAGCTACACAAATATACACAAATATAAGGAGGTTCAAGTAGGCGGACAGAAAGTCGGCGTGAGTGAGGAACAGCCAGAGGCCAGCAGGACTGCACACGGAGCTGAGCGTCGTGAGCAAGCGCAGCTCCTAGAAACAGGGTCTGGACACTCGGCCCCGTCAGTGGCCAGAATCGGGGGCACCAGGCTTCCCATCACAGAGGGCGGCAAGGCAGCTCCTCGGGCAGAGCCCCATTAGGCTCAGCACAGAGACGCACAGGCGGTTCAGGAAAATCAACAAAGCCTGAATGTCTTCTTACCAATAATTAACACTTCCTATTTCAAAAATGAAAATATTAAAAAAACCTGTGTCCTAAAACTGAAAAAAAGCTTTTAAAAATCAATGTTCTGTATTTAAAATATAATTAGTATCTTTATATTTACAAAGGCAATCTAAACTGCCACTTTTCTCAGCATTCATGTGGCTCCTAATTACCTCTGCCTTTTTACATTCATTCTCATTTTTGCATATAATACATTCTTTACTTGTATCTTAAAATCACATACAATATTCATGAGACTTCCAAGTATTAATTTTTATTTTAGAGGTTAAATTTTTTATGTTACTATACTTACAAAAATACACCATTTCAATTTTACTATGTAAGACATAATTCATTACCCCATACAAATATCTGAATGCATATAAAGATAGAGATATGAGGATATTTTTTCCCAGAATCATTTATATTAGTGAAAACTCAATCTCAATAGCTAACAATAGGGATACATCAAATTAGCTGGGGATAATTCTATAATATAGACTATAATACAGCCATTAAAAATAAATTCTTGGAAAAAAAATAAATAAATGCTTGGACAGCAAGAAGGTCAAATCAGAGAATCCTAAAGGACATCAGCCCTGAATAGTCACTGGAAGGACAGATGCTGAAGCTGAAATGCCAGTACTTTAGCCACCTGATGCCAACAGCCAAGTCATTGAAAAGATCCTGATGCTGGGAAGGATTGAAGGCAAAAAGAGAAGAGGATGGCAGAGGATGAGGTGGTTGGATGGCATCACCGACTCAACTGACATGAACTTGGGCCAACTCCTAGAGAAAGCGAGGGACAGGGAAGACTGGTGTGATGCAGTCCATGGGGTCATAAAGAGTCAGACACAACTTAGCAACTGAACAACAACTTTCTGGAGAAAGCCAGAGAGATAATTCACAATATTTACTTGTAGCCGAGAATAGGCAGGAATGTGTTCTGATGTTACTAAATTGTACATGTAAAGATGTATGTATCATGTTAAACACATATGAGAAATAAAAGAATGGACATCAAAAATAAATAAATAAATAAATAAATGCTTAGGAACAATATCTAGTAGCATAAAATACTCAAGTTATACAAAAAATACTCAAATTATATCATCTCAATTTCCTAAAGAAAAATAACATGTATTCTGTAGAATACATTAAAAGGGAACCAAAGTCAACACAATGCTGCCTTTTCATTTGTATATATTAATTTCATAGGTGATTTTATTTCCTTCTTTACATACGTCTGCATTTTACGCAATTTCTTTTCTTCCCCCTCTGGGTAATAAAAAGCTTCATTTTTCTTTATTTTATTATATTTTACAAAATTTCTTTTAATAAACATCCAAAGTTATTTAATAATCACAGATACTGCTTTAAAAGAAACTAAGGTGTCACACTGAAGCAACTCAGTCAGCATACACTCTTAAATATTTTAGGAGGAAAAAACAACCAAACATTTCACCCAAAATAGTCAGAAACAACTATGTAACTACACAAAGGGTTATTCTAGTCAAAATATACACTGGGTATATTTTAAGATATGGTGTAAGTTGATGTTTACATGCAAACTTCTCAATGATCCCACAAATATTTTTACCAGTATACCAAAAAGAAAAACAAAAACACAGGGGTACAGAAAAAAGAAAGCCACACACGTTTAGAAGTGAATCTCCGGTGCAACACATGGTACTTTTAAGAATCTTCTCTTTCAACACGTATGTGGGGAGCATTGGTATGCTTAGCCCTAACCCGAGGTGTAAACATAAAGAGGAAGAGTACTGGGTCACAAAAGACCAGAAAAAATGTCAAGAAGACAGGAGGTAACTATTCTACGGTGAGCAGTCTGAACAGTAAGAGGGAAAGTGGTTGGTAATGACCTGGAGTGATGTGTAAAAACAACTGACACCTTCCTAAAAGGAAAGAAAAAATTTCAGAACAAGAATTTCAAAGAAGGTCCATCTGAATGTAAGTATTTTCCTCAAAAAGTTTCTATGGAATGTGACATCTTTTTATTTCCACAGGTTTTTTAAAAGCACCAGCAGTACACTAAGAAACAAAAGCACTCGGGCCTCAGATGGGAGCGCTAACAGGTCTCTGAACTACTGAGCCGGCAGCGGGCACGCCAGCAGGCTGATTTACGGGGCAGAGCTGGAAGACACTGCTGCCCCCGTGTACACACAGGCGACCAACGAGGACCTGCTGCACGGCACACGGAACTCGGCCCCGGGCCCTGTGGGACATAGCGGGAGGGAGATCCAGAAAGGAGGGATCTGCGAACGGGCGCGCCTGGGAATCATGCTGCGCAACGGCAGAAACGCGCATACCCTCCAAAGCAGCTCTGCCCCCACGCCGGTGAGAACGGAACGGGGGGCCTGGCTTTACCTGCACCAGGATTCTACACTGACACCAACAGCAGCCCCTTCCTACCAGGCCTCCATTACTCTAACTAGGACCCGAAAGCTCACGTTACACAAAACACGAGAACTGTGTGCACAGACTAGATACGCCAGAAACATCGAGACCCTACCTCTTTCTCATGCATGCGGGAGAGTAACTGGTCATCGTGGAGACTGCTGGATTTTCTCAGGCTGAATTTCGGAGTCATCTGTTGAATGAGGAAGAGCCATTCAATACTGTTTCAGGCCTGATGTAGCCAAAAGTAAACTGCAAACTGACTGAAGTTCATGCCAAAACAATACAGACACCGGAGGAAAGAAAGTGATTTATTCACTCCCAAGTGATAGGATTAACAAGACTACTGTACTTCATAATGTGGACTGGCATTGCTTTCTGTAAACAACTAAACAATTATTTTATTTTAAGACATCTGCCCACAGGGAAAGCGCAGGGCAATTCTCACCTACCAGAGTAACTGGGATGGGCTTCTGTCTCAGGTATCGAGGGTTTTCTATCTGAAATTTTAAAATAAAGACATTAATATTTGAGTATTAATTAAACTATAATGAAAATGTTTTCCATATGTCCTAATATTTAGCATGTTTCTTAGAATACATATTGCATAATATATTTCTAGTGGCCCACTAAAAAATAAAACAGAAAGCGTAGCTGCCTCTGCACACACGAACGCCCTCGAGTGACCCTCTCACAGCTGAGGCCACAGCCGCCCCCAGCCTGCTCACCTCACGCTTCGCCCCCAGGTCCTGAAGGGCCCTCATCACCAGGAGACGGCAGGTCTCCTGCGCCTGTCTACCTCTGCCCACCCCGCCCCAGGCCCTGTAAGCACACACCTAGCATCCTTCAAGTCTCAATTTAATCACTACACCCCCAGGCAGACTTGGAAATCTAAATGACATAAGCATATGAAAACATGCTTAAACTATCTAGGACTATGAAAAATGTAAAGTAATACCACAAGAGATGGTATTTTATAGCCACCAGATAGGCATATATTAAAAATTGGACATACAGTTATCGATATAGAAAACAAATTTATGGGTTACCAAGGGGTACGGGGGAAAAGGATAATCTGGGAGACCGGAATTGACAGATACACACCACTATATATGAAATATGTAGCTCAGCTGGTAAAGAATCTGCCTGCAATACAGGAGACCCAGGTTTGATTCCTGGGTTGGAAAAATCCGCTGGAGAAGGAAATGGCAACCCACTCCAGTACTCTAGCCTGGAGAATCCCATGGACAGAGGAGCCTGGCAGGCTACACAGACCATGGGGTCACAAGAGTCAGACACGACTTAGCAACTAAATCACATCACATATACAAAATTCAGTTCAGTTCAGTCGCTCAGTCGTGTCCAACTCTTTGCGACCCCATGAACCACAGCACACCAGGCCTCCCTGTCCATCACCAACTCCCAGAGTCCACCCAAATTCATGTCCATTGAGTCCGTGATGCCATCCAACCATCTCATCCTTTGTCATCCCCTTCTCCTCCTGCCCTCAATCTTTCCCAGCATCAGGGTCTTCTCCAATGAGTCAGCTCTCTGCATCAGGTGGCCAAAGTATTGGAGTTTCAGCTTCAGCATCAGTTCTTCTAATGAACACCCAGGACTGCTCTCCTTTAGGATGGACTGGTTGGATCTCCTTGCAGTCCAAGGGACTCTCAAGAGTCTTCTCCAACACCACAGTTCAAAAGCATCAATACTTCGGTGATCAGCTTTCTTTATAGTCCAACTTTCACATCCATACATGACTACTAGAAAAACCATAGCCTTGAGTATACGTACTTTCGTTGGCAAAGTAATGTCTCTGCTTTTTAATATGCTGTCTAGGTTGGTCATAACTCTCCTTCCAAGGAGCAAGCATCTTTTAATTTCATGGCTGCAATCACCATCTGCAGTGATTTTAGAGCCCAGAGAAATAAAGTCAACCACTGTTTCCACTGTTTCCCCATCTATTTGCCATGAAGTGATGGGACTGGATGCCATGATCTTAGCTTTCTGAATGTTGAGCTTTAAGCCAGCCTTTTCACTCTCCTCTTTCACTTTCATCAAGAGGCTCTTTAGTTCCTCTTCACTTTCTGCCATAAGGGTGGTGTCATCTGCATATCTGAGGTTATTGATATTTCTCCTGGCAATCTTGATCCCAATGTGTGCTTCCTCCAGCCCAGGGAAGGGAGTGGCAAACCACTGCAGTGCATAAAATAGGTAAATGGCAATAACCTACCACACAGCACAGGGGTGCTCCTCAGGACTCTGTACCGACTCATGTGGGGAAGAATCTTAAGAAGAGTGGACACACGTGTGTGTGATTGATTCACGCTGCAGTACAGCAGAGAGTAACATGACACTACAGACCAACTCGACTCCAGGAAAAGAAGTTAAATAAATCAGTTCAGTTCAGTCGCTCAGTCACATCCAACTCTTTGTGACCCCATGGACTGCAGCACACCAGGCCTCCCTGTCCATCACCAACTCCTGGAGCTTGCTCAAATTCATGCCCATCAAGTTGGTGATGCCACCTGACCATCTCACCCTCTGTCGTCCCCTTCTCCTCCCGCCTTCAATCTTTCCTAGCATCAGGGTCCTTTCTAATGAGTCAGCTCTCCGCATCAGGTGGCCAAAGTACTGGAGCTTCAGCTTCAGCATCAGCATCAGCCCTTCCAATATTCTGGACTGATTTCGTTGAGGTTTGACTGACTGGATCTCCTTGCAGTCCACAGAAATCTCAAGAGTCTTCTCCAACACCACAATTCAAAAGCATCAATTCTTTGGCACTCAGCTTTCTTTATGGTCCAGCTCTCAAATCCATACATGACAGGAAAACCATAGCCTTGACTAGACGGACCTTTGTTGACAAAGTAATGTCTCTGCTTTTTAACATGCTGTCTAGGTTGGTCATAGCTTTTCTTCCAAGGAGCAAGTGTCTTTTAATTTCTTGACTGCAGTCACTATCCATAGTAATTTTGGAGCCCCCCAAAATAAAATCTGTCACTGTTCCCATTATTTACCCATCTATTTGGCATGAAGTGATGGGACCAGATGCCATGATCTTAGTTTTCTGAATGTTGAGTTTTAAGCCAGCCTTTTCCCTCTCCTCTTTCACTTTCATCAAGAGGCTCTTTAGTTCCTCTTCACTTTCTGCCATAAAGGTGGTGTCATCTGCATATCTGAGGTTATTTATATTTCTCTAAGCAATCTTGATTCCAGCTTGTGTTTCATCCAACCCGGCATTTCGCATAACGTACTCTGCATATAAGTTAAATAAGCAGGGTGACAATATACAGCCTTGATGCACTCCTTTCCCAACTGGAACCAGTCCATTGTTCCATGTCCAGTTCTAACTGTTGCTTCTTGACCTGCATACAGATTTCTCAGGAGGCAGGTCAGGTGGTCTGGCATCCCCATATCTTTAAGAATTTTCCACAGTTTATTGTGATCCACACAGTCAAAGGCGCTGGCATAGTCAATAAATGAGTTTTTAAATAAATAAATAAGTTTTAACAAATAAATTAAGTTAAAAAACAAAAATTAAAAATTTGATAATAAACGTGTTCCAGATGTGGGGCCCTACTGTTGGGTGTATGACTTAGTCCATTTACTTTGGGAAACATTATTAAATAAAGATAATAATAAAGTCTACTTAAATATCATACCAGAGACAGAGGCATAGTCTTTAGTAAACAAAATGGTACTATATATACACACAGCTTTTTGAAAAATAGAGGCAGCCAATTTCCAGCAGGCAGCAAAGTACACTCAATAAATATTTATTGTCTGAAGGTATATATATGAAAAGTAAGTAACCATTCTCTATTTTTGGAATGGAGAAAACCAGCATAAAAAGTAAGTCCTTTAAAGACACATGCACATAAAACCCTAATTCATGAAGCAGAATTAAATACAAGGGGAAAAATAAAGGAAGAGAAAAACAGACAATTCTCAAAGATGCTCAAGCTCTAATTAAGCTTAAAATTTAAACCCAAAAGCCAAGAAAACCATCTGTGACTTATTTTTACCCAGCTCTACATTTATAAGCAGGGTACAAAATATTGGTTTAGCTAATTACAATGTAGCCTTTCAACTATGCAGAAATAACTATTTCATCCTCTTCATCTTTAAAAATCATTAAATACAGAAGTTAAGGACTCATCGTGTTATCATAAATTTCCTTTCTCAAGTTGACAAAAGTCTATTCTAATATTTAAAAGCAACAATGAACGCTGTAAACAAGCATGAATCTTCTGTTGCTCTTATTCATTTACAGTACATTGTCTGATACCCACTTTTAACATGTAATGACAATTATTCATAGGAGAGCATGTTCTTGAGTCTGTTTGAGGGAAATAAGCAATCTATTTTCTGATTTTATAACACCAGCCAGATGTGCTTTGAAGTTGAATGTTCCCACTCTGTAATCCACAAGCAACAGGGACTTGCAGAAATCTGTAAACAGTCTTAACACTGATTTTCTTCATGCTGTTTCAGAAGACTTCTTGTTCTCTCATAATATAATACCTCAAGAAAGAATACCACAATAAAGAATGTCCAAAATGGAAGATAAAAAGAGCTTAAGTGAAACATTAAAGTCTGACAAAATATTATACAGACAGTAATGCCAAAAATAATTAAGTTCCAATAGCATGAATAAATCACATGACAGAATGTTTCTTGTTTGAAAAACAAGTACAATCACAATAATAAATAAATAGTAATTTAAACTAGACATGAAAACAGATATCTGAATGCTCTCTAATGAAAACTGCCTTTTGACGCTTTCTTTATTTTTTCAGCAGAAATGTTCAAAGAGTTCTGTCAGCTTGTCTTTTTCAAATTATTCAGGATTTGGTCAAACTGACCTCCTTATAGACTAATATTGATCAAAGAGAGATGTTCCAAGGTTTCAGAAAAATAGGAAGACATTTTATCTGGTATTTTGGCCATCTTAGAGGAAAGGACATTCTAAGGCAATATATTACAAGCAGCACAACCAGAATAACTGTTCTCACAGTCAGAGCACCCATCAGAAGAACGGCCAAACCTCTTCCTACAGCATAAAATAAATTCAGTCACCAATGTCACTTATGCTCCAAAATAATGCTCTTACTCTTAAGTCGATATTTTAGAAATTGAAAAATGTTTTCCACAGAAAAAAATACAATACTACAAACGGGTTTACTCACATTTCAACATTTAATGAGAACAAATGAAATACAGATAAGAGACACCATTCACTGCCACAAGGAACAGCAAACAAGCCAAGGACAGAATGGGAACATGCGCGTGCTACCGTCTGATCTGTGAGGCCGAGCCCGTGCTGTGCGTGCAGCAGGGAGAGAAGAGGCCCCTCGGCAAATGAAGCATCAGGCGGACACCGTAAGGGCCACGCATCTACCTCCTGTCTTACAACAGACCCTGCAACTGCCTCCGGGTGGCATGTAGTTCTAAGTAGAAACAGTAAAACAATAGAGCTGCTAGAAGAAGACCTGGGAGAACCTCTTCAAGAACTCAGGACAGCCACATACTTCACACAGACACAGAAAGCAATTTTTCATGAGACAAAATCATGGGAAAATGAACCACATTAAAATTTTAAATTCCTGAGACTTCCCTGGTGGCTAATACTGCACTCCCAAAGCAGGGGGCAGGGGCTCAATCCCTGGTCAGGGAACTAGATCCCACATGCTGCAACTGAGAGTTCACATGCCTGAGCCAAAACTAAGAGCCCCGTGCAGCCAAATGAATAAATAAAAATTAAAAAACATTTTTTTAGTTCCTGTTCATCAAAGACAGCAGTAAGAGAATGGAGGAAAGCAACAAAGTGGAAGAAACTATTTATGATACTAAATTCCAAAAGGACTCATCCAGAATAGATACAAAGCTCTTCTATATTGACAAGAAAAAGGCAGACAGCCCAACAGCAGAACGCGCCAAGGCCCCAGTCACCACTGCACCCTGGGAGGCCACCCAAACTGTCCATCAGCGTATTGAAAGGGATCTAACTTTATCCGTCATCAGGAAAATACATATTCAGTCCACACGTGAAGTGTCACTAGCCGCTGCAGAGAATGGCTCAGTTGCATACTTAAAAGAAAACTATTAATAACTGGCACCTCCAGGTACCAGAGAGAAAGCAAGGGGCAGGCACGGCGCATGCAGTGTTGGATGAGGACGCTCACGGGCACCTTTCGACCCGACAGTGCTCGCAGCACCGTGTGCACCATCACCTTGAGCCCAACCTCGCGGAGTCCACACTCTCCCTTCCCCACCACGCAGCCCCGCTCCTCCACCTGGACTCCCCGGTGAGTCCGCTCGGCCCCCACACTCCTTACCGGGGGTTCCGGGATGGGCAGGTGCCCCGGCCCTGGACAGGAGGTCCCACCAGGGGCCCTGCCCTCCAGGGGGGCCGCCGGACTGGGGTGCTGTCCACCCTCCCGCTGACCATCCTGTCTGGCGAGGTTTCCAGGACATGAGTTCTCCAGAACAGAACAGAATGTTCTCTCGCCCATTCTGCAGAGACCTGACCTAAGGGGGTCACCCAGAGTGTACCCACTGTTTGCTCCTGGTGGAAGCGAGCCTCCACAGTCAGCACAGAGGCCCCGGTGGGCACGGGCTGGGGGCAGTGACCCGGGCAAGGCCTGGGTGAGGACAGGTGGGGGTCTGGTGACCCATGCGAGGCCCAGGAGAGACTCCTCCAGATCCCCCAGTCCTCCTCAGGAAAAAAAGAAAAAAGTTTATATAAAGACGGTCATGAATGAAATGTATATAAGATAGGTTAACAAAGCAAGAAAGCTCCCCCAAAGCTAAAGGTTAAAAAGGCTAAAGAGTAATAATAGTAAAAAATAATAATACAGGAGGAAAATTTAACCGCTAGGTTTAGGAAGTAAATTTCTACTTGAATTATATATTCACAGGGAAAATATTAAAACAGTCCTGGGAAAAGAAAGAATATAACCGGGGGAAATGTATATTTTCAACAAAAACTAGAAAATTCAAAATCTGGAACTTCTAATGCATCAGAAAGTAAGTGCTGACAGGCATGCCAGCAACATAAAAAAATGTGCCCTTAGTATAGAGCACAAAAATTAACTAGCTATTAACTGATCATTTGGAGGAAGAAAGAAATAAAAGTCCATTACACATTCTCATACAAAACTAAAATCAAAGCAAAATCTAAGCTTTTTAATACACTGGATATTTAAATTATTCTACTGTGATGAAGAGATATAGTTGAACCTGATTAATACATCTCTGTTATAAATATATAAAAATGAGGGACTTTATTTCACACTGTGAGTGCAATCTTTGAACAATAAAAATGTGAAACAAATCCCAGGCGGCCCTAGTTTTACGGCAGTCCCTCAAAATAGTTTAGATTTTTTATCTTAATTTTATTATATAAATGAAAAGTTTAATCCTCTGAACAGTTAAATATTTGTGAAAAGTACTGTATGTGCTACAAAATGCACATCAGAAGTTCTCAACGGCCTAGGGCAGAGGCCGCTGCAGAAGGACGTCCCAGAACGCCCTTCTCTCTGATTCTGCTCCCCGACGCCTCCTCGCTCCTCTCCCGCACCGGGAAGTCAGGACTCGTTCTGGGGGCAGCTTCCCCGACTCCTTCAAATTTGGAAATGGTTTTCTTTTGACCCACTCCCCTCTCGTTATCAATGCTATTTCTCTCTCTTCTCCTACATTAACATACCTTCAAATGACTCACTTCAAATCCCTTCCTGCCCCCCCCCGACCCTCTGACTGTGGCCGCCGAGTCCCGGTCTGAAGTCTCTGAAGACAGCTGTCCCCAGGCTTTGGGTACGGCCACCACGTCCAGCGTGTGGCTGCAAAACAGGACTGCAACCCTGGAGACCACAGAGCTGAAAGCTTGAAACTCTCCGATTACTCTCCGAATGAAAGCAGTCTATGATAAAACGGTGAAACCCTTGAAATGATTCCGCCATCAGACAACCAGGCAGCTGACAGCGAGCCAACCCTCCCATTTTCCTGGAACCAAAGCTTTAGATGCCGTCCTGTTCAGCTCGCCAGTCAGTCACAACCCTCCCATTTTCCTGGAACCAAAGCTTTAGATGCCCTCCTGTTCAGCTCGCCAGTCAGTCACTAAGCATTCTTTATTCTCTTTGAAATGTTTTCCTTTTCCATCTCTTCCATGCTCAGAGTCATAGCAAGGTGGAGCCCCCACACACGACTGCTCCCTTTCTCTATTTCCATACACATCCAACACAGCCTTCATACCACCACCCACTCAGTCTCCCTAAAGCACTGCCTTCATCAAAGATCATTATTAGCAAGAAGGGTTTCAGGGTTTTTATAAAAGTAACAGTCCCTGATGTAGGCGAAGAAGTAAAAAAAGAACAGTCCAATATACTTCTGGTTGGAAAACAGATTGGTGTATGCCTTATGGAGGGAAATGCTCCAAGACCTAACATAATCTAAGAAAGCAACCAAATAGGAACAAAAGGATTCTTTCAAGGAATTCTGTTGCAGTTGTTACTTATATTAGCAATAAACTGGAAGCAACCTATATGTCCAAAATACCAGAATGCTTAAGTAAGTTATGAACTATCCACTCAAAAGAAAAATTGGTGCTACCATTAACAGTCATGCTAATAGAACTACTGTAAACCTATCCCAAATTTAAAACAGCACATAATAAAATAGCATTTATAATATGACCCCAATTTTGTTTAAAGTTTAATTTTATAAATACATGCAGAAAAAAATGAGGGAAAGATATATATAACAAAATGTTAATACATCTCTCCGCATACCTGACTTTCTGTATTTTTCAAATTACAAATTATTTTTATAATAATAAAGTTGGGTTTTAAAAGTTGAAAAAGCCCTTTTCACTTCCTGAAAGCATTAAACAGCCTGTATGTACAGTGGAAACGTGGAGGCGGGGGAACTAACCTCAGAGCTCACAACCGTCTCAAATCTGAAAGCGGAACTTCCGCTTTAGCAGTCAAATTCCAACAGGCCCCAGCCCGGCAGCCCTGCCCACCGGCCCCGAGCCCCGCTCTCCCCGCCTTTCTTTACGCCTCCTCTGGCCTTAAGCTCCTGGCCCCTTTCTCTCCACTGTCCAGGCACACGGGCGCCCAGGCCTCCGCAAATGAAAACTGCCCAAGATGGTGGCTCAGGCCTGAAGTCTGCCGGACAGCTTTCTCACCCATGTGGCCTTGTACTTTCCGGGTAACTTTTTCTGGTATTCCATCACATGCTGTCTGAAACTGTCTTTAACCGTTTCATGTGCGTATCTCCTAGCTCACCAACAGGAGAGCCAGCTTGTCAAGCATAGGGACCACTCACACTTCTCTTTCCTGTTCCCCAAGTCCTTCCCAGAGCTCACCCAGCACTAAGTGTCTAAGTGTCTAACATGGGTAAGAGTCATTGTTTAGAATTAAATTAGTTCAGATGTTTCCCTAACACAAAATGATTCTGCCACATCAACATACAGTTGTAAAACAAATGCTTTTTTACCCCAAGATTCCAGCTATTAAGGCGAGTTTCCATGTCACTGTCATCCAAAGAAAGAGCAGATTTTTTCAAATGAATATCCTGAAACACAAAAAAAGAAAAACAGAATGAAAACCAAAGACAGAATGGAGAAAGAAGGAAGGATGGAAGAAGTAACAGAGGAAAGAAGGAAGGAAGGGCAGAGGGGACGGAGGGAGAAAAGAGGACGAAATACCTGTCATTCAGAGTAACGAGTGTTCGTGTGCGTGCTGGTAATGCTCGAGCACCCTTAGAGGAAAGGGCTAGGCTACAGCTGAGCTAGTTCGCAGTTCCAAGGGATGACTGTTTATTACAGCTGCTTAAGGCTGTGAGACTCCTTCACAATATATTTACATTAACTGGATTTCAAAAAATCAAAAGAATATTTTAAAAAATAATCCAGACTCTTTAAATTCTTTTACAAAAAGTTTTAATTGTGGTGTACCATGGTAGTTTTAAAGGCGGGAAAGGGAACACTTGAAAAGATGAATTACTTAATTCTCGTTAAAATGAGTTAACAGGGAAGTTTGGGTTGATGTCCAAGAAACTCTTTGTTCTTAAATTATTTCTCCATTATACACCGAACATAAAGAGAAATAAGCCTTGGATTCACATCATGAAAACGTAATCATGGTAATTCTTAACTTTCTTAAAAAATTAAAACTCCATGCTCTTTTCCCTGCTGTATAATTTTTTATATTACATATCTATCAAATCAGATTAAAATCATAATTAACTGAGGAAAGCCAAAGATCTGTGTCCAGAAATGGACAATGATCTGAAAGCCCAAAAACTTACGAAGGTAACTTGGTATAAAATAATAATGTATATTTTACAGTACAGCTAAAAAATTTATTTTAATTTAATTTGTTGGTATAGCACTTTCATGCTTTTAGAAAACCTTGTGCATATGCACCAAGTCACTCCAGTCGTGTCCAGCTCTTCACGACCCCATGGACTGTAGCCTGCCAAGCTCCTCTGTCCATGGGGTTCTCCAGGCAAGAATACTGGAGTGGGTTACCATTTCCTTCTCCAGAGGATCTTCCCGACCCAGGGATCCAACCAGTGTCTCTTACGTCTCCTGCACTTGCAGGTGGGTTCTTTACCGCCAGCTCCACCTGGGAAGCTCCTAGGAAACCTCGCTGCTGCTGCCGCTGCTGCTAAGTCGCTTCACTCGTGTCCGACTCCGTGCGACCCCACAGACGGCAGCCCACCAGGCTCCTCTGCCCCTGGGATTCTCCAGGCAAGAACACTGGAGTGGGTTTCCATTTCCCTCTCCGGAAAACCTCATTACTAACAAATAAGTCTATCTATGGTCATTTATATTATCTGAAGTAATGAAAAATACACTAAAATGTTCTTCATATTTTACTAATTTGAAATCTAGAAATTAATTAGAAACTAATTTAGAAACTCAGAAACTAATTAAAAATTTACAAATTTCTATTGAACAAAATGTTGGGTTTACTATTTATACTGTATTAAAATTCATTATTGCCTCTACAGTTGGTCCCTTGCTTTTTGAATGTTTGTGTGTGAATGAGAATATCTTTTAAAATGTACCTCCCTTGTTTATTTTGAATAAATATGATGATTAATAATAAATTCACAAATATTTAAAATGTGTTCTTCTTTATATCAAGAGGCTTATTAAAGTTCCAAACTGGAATTCCCCATCACTGGAGAAAATAGAAGGAATTATATGTAAAGCAAGTGTCCTAAAAAAGTCAAGCATCACACATGGCTTGCTTAACTAAAAGGCTTGTAACCCAAGACAAGCCAGAATTATGCAAGGATGGAGGCAAGCAGGCAAAGTCCTTCTCTTTACGAAGCTCACTAGCTCCACGTTCAAACAATCTCTCTGCTGAGTCTAACACGCAAGAGAGGTGTTCGTATTTCAGGATGCGAACAGCCCACCTTCACCAGGAAGGAAGTGTCCTCTACTTCACTACAAACCAGTCCCATTTCTAAGGTTATGACCACTGTGTGTCTAGTCATTTTTATATATACACAGAGAAAAGGGGGAAAAAATAACTAAAAAGTGAAGTTTTTCAAAGTTATTTTTCAGTGCCCGGGAAAAATGACAGACTGATGAACACAATGCTTCAGAATGTTAGGGAAAGCAGAAGGAACATAGCAATATACCCAATATGTCCCTTTCTTTGAAATCAGGATACCCACCAAAACCATCAGACTGTCTACTGTTTGTCAGGAATCATAGGAATTTAACAATATGAAACTAAAAATGTGTGGAGATATTTTAAAACAAGAAGAAAACAAACAGAAAAGCGAGGGTGAAGTCTGATCTTACACAATCCTTTGGGGTAATAATCCGTCCATCTTCTCTGCGGGTTGGACTCATAGACTGTGATCTGGTTTGGAACTTCGCAATGCATTGTTCCCTATTAAGAGACCAAAATAGTCATGGTCAGAACTAGGGGAATTCAGAGGACATGAGGGCATTAAAATCTAGGACTATCATGTTTTTTTCTTTTGGAAATGAGATGGTTGCTTATATTAACAGTGATATTTCAATAGCAAAAAAAAAAAATACAGATAATAACCACTTGTATCTCACATTTTACTTCAATTAGGTGACACAACAAATAAAATGTCACCTAAATGTCACATGCTTTCTTACAAACGCTGCTGTCGAGTGGGACTACAATAAACCACAGGCATTTCCCCCTTTTCTAAGAGCAGGAAGAGAAAAGCTAAAGGATACCCTCTCAGAGAAGATCAGTGTTTTAGAAGGTCAGCAAGTTTTGTTGGACTCATGCTTCACATTAAGATAAAGTCTTAAAACACATAAAATAACAAAACTTTCATGTAGCTGAAAGTCTGAAAATTCAAAACCATGTCAGAAACCACAGATAAATCAAAGTCCTAAATTTAAAAATATGCCATGTTAATTCAGGTAAAATATGATAAGCACAGCATAAATAGGAAAATGGTTTAAGCTTCCAGATGAATTTGAACAAAAAAGATTGTCCTCCAATATAAAATACACCAAATATTCAAAATGCCATTCTCCATATTCTACTTTAGCCTGGAGTCTCCCAGATATTTTTATTCCAGCTGCTTCAGTGAAAGCTCCATGACAACAAATACCTGTTCTCTGAATGGCTCCTTCAGGAGATACAAAATGAAAATGAACCATTATTGGATGAATTAGTCACTGACTTCCAACTTCTAGCCATAGCAGGATTTCCCTCACAAGCTGTGGGTCATACTAAGTGTTCCCAAAAGACAAAATTGTAGTTCAGAAAGACAAGGTTAAAATGAATGTGGGTTTTGGTAGTTAACACTGACAGAATGACAGTCCTTAGACTAGTTACTAGGTAATTTAGAATTCCTGAAAAAAACTGTTTTAAAGAGAGCTGTGGACTTTTTATACGCTTAATCAATAGTCCAGATATCCAAACACTTAAGAATAGATAAGAAAAAGAAATACAGTGGCATCTTGAGGATAATCTCATCAGTCAGTGGCCTGAGCGGTAAGAAGCTCTTCACACTTAGCGTGTGGCACATACTGCATCACAGTAAGCAGTGCCTGCACCTTAAGAACAGATTAAACAATCATAAAAAGAGCTCTGCTGAAAAATTGAAAAACTGCTTAAATATTAAAAGTCATTCTTCTCACAGAAAATATTAACAAAAAAGAGGACTGAAACATTTATCTGTTTATTGCACCGGGTGCATACATAAACCAGCACGTCCTCTCAAGTGGCGGGCAGCCGTCCTCTGGACCAGCCCCGCTCGCTCCCTCTCGGTGAGCCTGCCAGGGGGGCGGCGGGTCCTTGTCCTTTCCAGTCACCCTGCAGGTGCTGAGCGTGAGGTCAGCAGGCGCAGAGGAGCCGAGACGGTCCACTCCCTGCCTTCCCCCTGAAACCGCAGGGACGCCGCTGCAAAGACGCCGCGTGCACTGGCTCCGCAGAACCTTCCTTCCAGTTCCCACCGCTGCTGCAGACGCTCCCTCACTGCCCACCGCCGCACCGCCCCGAACGTGCCTGGTCTCTGAGCCGGGAAGCTCAGCGGGGTCGGGCCTGGTCAGCCCGCTTCTCAGCTCTTCCGCTGGTTTTTCTTCCTCTGCCCATCTCTCACAGGCAATGACCCCTGAGTTCTGTGTCCAGCCTTATTTATTTTTCTGTTATGTGCTTCCCTGGTCAATTCAGTGTATACCATTAGTTTCCAAATCACAAGGGGAAACTGATCACCCATCTTCATCTCCAGTCCAACCTGTTCTGCTGTCCTCCAACCCTGCTACAAACACATATTTGACAGCCTTCCCTCCAATCCAACCTGCCCGAGACTGAGTGCATGCCACGTCCCCAGTACAGGCCAAGTGAAACAGAGACCATCCAAGTCAGCTCCTTGTGGAGGCCACTGAGCCAAACAAGACGGAGGTCAGTGTCAGTGCCGACGCACACATAGGACGCTAAGCATGGCGGCTCCATTTCTTGCTACCGATAATGACTCCAGATGGAGACAAAACTAACTGCAACTCTGAGCTGCAGATGATGGGGCCAAGGTCACAGGGATGGGGCCAAGGTCACGGTGATGGGGCCAAGGTCACAGGGATGGGGCCAAGGTCACAGTGATGGGGCCAAGGTCACGGTGATGCAGCTGGAGGCCCCGGTGAACCGGGGGACATAGGGCAGGAGGCAGAGCTTCACCCTCGGTTATCGTGCATGAAGAGCAGCAGGTGCTGTCTGCCCCACAGAAGAGCCGGTCGAGGTGCTCACAGAGACCGCCTGTAGCTGGGGCAAGGAGCAGGGTCACAGAGGCATCAGGATTCCTGTGGTGGTACCGGGAGAGGGAACACCAACACAGAAAGCAAGATCTCAGCATGCTAGTGAGGGTCCCTGACAGGAGAGCACCACCTTACTCCTCTGAAGGGGCAAGACTATGGGAAATAGAAAATTTTCCCTGTCACTTCTTCCCAAGGCTAACGTTGTGTTACTCAGTCACGTCCAATTCTTTGTGACCCCATGGACTGTAGCCCACCAGACTCTTCTGTCCATGGGATTTCCCAGGCAAGAATACTGGAGTGGGTAGCCATTTCCTTCTTCAGGGGATCTTCCTAGCCCAGGGATTGAACCTGGGTCTCCTGTATTGCAGGTGGATTCTTTACCATCTGAGCCACCACGGAAAGGTAAAATATGTCAACAGAAATCCAGAAACATCCTCCCCGCATCCGTGTTCATCCCAGATACTACAGAATCATAGACTTGTCACTATAAAGATAAAGAGAGAAGTAATGAGATGTAAGATTTAAAAGTCTAAAAAAGGACTAATTGAATGCCCTACTGCTAAAGAAACATAAATACATAGAAAGTTTCTAAACAGTCTTTTTAATTTGTTCTCAATGTGATTCAAGTAGACATTTCAGATAGAAAAGGAAATAAACAATCTGTGATCATAAAAATGTGCTTAAAAATGAAAAACACGATTGCCAAATTTTAAAACCACAATGTAAGAAGAGAATGACAGATTAAATATAGCATAAAAATCAAACCAGCAAATTAGAAAACTAGTTCAAGAAATATTCTAAGAACATACAAAAAATAAAGGAATGAATATAATGAGTGAAAATGTAAGAGATGAAGAAGATAAATTCAAAATCTCTTATATCAAAATAATATGAATTCCAGAAGGCTTAAATAGAAACAGAAACTAGGAAAATAGTAATTAAAGAAATAGCAATGACAATGACAGTTAAAACTGCATTTTAACTGGAGAAGAGCCTAAATGAATAACCTAGGATATCTCTTTTAGCTCAGACAAAAATGCAATAAAAAAAATGTAATATCATGCTATCGCCAGAAAAGACCACAAGTAAGTGTTGGTGAGGATGTGGAAAAAAGGAAAACCTAATACCCTATTAATGGGTATGTAAGTTGGTGGAGCCACTATTGAAAACTGTAAGGAAGTTTCTCAAAAAACTAAAAATAGAACTACCATATGATCCAGCAATTTCACTCCTGGGTATATATGCAAAGATGAAAAACACTAATTCAAAAAGATACACGCATCCCAATGTTCATCAGTTCAGTTCACTCATTCAGTCTTGTCCAACTCTGCGGCCCCTTGGACTGCAGCACACCAGGCCTCCCTGTCCATCACCAATTCCTGGAGTTTACTCAAACTCATGTCCATTGAGTCAATGATGCCATCCAACCATCTCATCCCGTGCCATCCCCTTCTCCTTCCACCTTCAATCTTTCTCAGCATCAGGGTCTCTTCAAATGTTCATAGCCCCTGGCAAATACCATTCAACTTTCTGCCTCTCTGAATTTACACTTCATTCATGTAAGTGGAATCAGAAGGTATTCCTCACATTGTGACTGGCTCTTCTGCCCTCACATGATAACTTTGAATTTCACCCATGTTGTAACATGTGTCAGAATTCCCTTCTTTTTTAAGGCTCAGTACTATTCCACTGTATTACATACCACATTTTGTTTATGCGTTCAGCCACTGGGTTCCAGTTCCTCCACATCCCTGCTAAGCATGTCGTCTGTTCGCTCATCTGTTTTGCAGTAGACATCCTAATAGATATAAGGTTTGGATTTGCATTTCCAGAATGATTAGTGATCATTTCTTTGCAGAAATGTCTGTTCAAGTCCTTTGCTCATTTTTTAATTAGGTTGGTTGTTTTTATTGTTGTTGAACTGTGGGACTTCTTACATATTCAGGATACCAGTTGCCTTTTCAGACAGGTGATTTGTAAATACTTTCTCCCATTCCATGGGTTGCCCTTTCACTCTGCTGACTGTCCCTTGATGCACAAAAGTTTTTAAGTTTGAGGTAGTCCAATTTATCCAGGGCCTTTGGGGTTGCTGGCTGTGCTCTTGGTACATATCCAGTAAATCAATGCCAACCCCACTGTCACAAAGCTTCCTTTGTATTTCCCTCTAAGAGTTTTACAGTCTTAGATTTTACCTTTAGGTATTTGATCCATTTTGCATTAGATTTTGTATGTGAAAAGGAAGAGTCAACTTCGTTCTATTGCATGTGGATGTCCAGTTTTGCCACATCATTTGTTGAAAAGACTGTCCTTTCCTACTGAATGCTCTTGGCATCCTTATCAAAAATCACTTGACCATATATGCAAAGGTGTATTTCAGGGCTCTCTATTCTAATCTGTCAATATGTCTGTCTTTATGCCTGTACCACACTGTTTCTTTTTTTAATTTTATCCAATCATTCATCTGTCCATTCATTCATATATTCCTTCGGCAAATAACTGAGTCACTGTGTTCCATGGTATAGTGACGGGTCTTAGGAATCCCACTGTGAACAGGGCAGAGTCTCCCCCTCAAGGAGCTTTGTGAAGATGAACCACAGGCTGATATCAGAAAACACTACCCCCCTTTATTGTTTGCATAAGATCGTTCTC